ATGCCAGTTAGCGATTGCAATGGACAATTTTGGATATATTTCAATTAAAAAAGAACATAATTGTCTTCTTGATAAAAAGAAATCTACTGTTTATCATTTCTTGTCGGATGTAAATTTGAAAATGATGAAAATGACTTTCGAGAAATATAAAGAGACTGCATTTTCCCTTTACAAAAGAAGCAAAATTCTGGATTACATTGTTGGAACTTGAACTCTTTGAATCCAACCGTCAAAAAAACTTTCAAGGAAAAGACCAACCCAAGAACCTCACTTCAATCACATTACTAGAGTCTAATTTCCTATAAATACCACAGACCTAATCAAATGAAAGGTATGCAGTATTCATATCCTAATAAAAACTCTCTTCGTTCATTTCCCCAATACTCAAATATTTTCCAACAACTAATTTGATCATAGGGTAGACCATCTCTTGGAAAGAATGTCTTCGCATGCTAATGTTTTTTATGTGCAAACAATGCATACGTAGATGAAAATGAAGAATGGTTTGTGAGATATTTATGCATTTGACTTCTGCTTAATTTGGAATGAGTTTTCCATATTTGAGTCGTTAAAACTATAAATACAGATAAATCAATAAAATAAATTACTACAATATATATATATATATATATATATATATATAGGAACTTAATCTTTAAAATAGACAAATTGGCACGATATTAGAGTTGACAAAAGTAGCAAGTTCGAATATTCTCTCGATTCACTTCTTAGAATAATAAATTGATAAAAGTATAAAAACAAATAAATAAGTTTTTTTAGAGACACCTGTCAACACTTTAATTTTGAAATAAATCTGAATAGGTATGAATGCGATACGATTTGACAAGTTTATGATAAATTTTTAAACCAAACCACTTAAAGCGGTTTGGACTTTTTCTAAATCAAACTAAGCCAAACCATTTCATTTTATAAATCAAACCAATCAAAACCATTTTTTTTTCGGTTTGATTCGGTTTAAAACCACAGTTTAACAAATATATATATAACAAATAAGTTAAATTATAAATATTAGTCTAAAATTTTACGTTAAAACATAAATAGTATCATTAAAAATATAACAAACCTATTTTTTATTTTTAATTCTAATCACTATAATGCAACAACATGATTGAAAACAATTTAGCATCTTAGTCGATATTAATTGACATAACACCTGAAATTGTAACACATGATTTATTTTCTCCACAAAGATTATAATATAATACATAAATTCATTGATTATAATTAAATGATATACAACAACTAATAAAAGAAAATGAATAAGAAAATCAAATACGATAATACCTTCTATAACTTTTTATGAACAATCAAATACTTCTACCTTATTTAAATATTGGCGAATCACTATAAGATTTATTTTAATTGGGTTGAATAAAATTTAAATTAATTTATTTTCGAATTTTTTTGTTAACAGCTTGACAGTTTCCACAAATAGAAACTTGAACCTAAAGAGGTTTGGTCGGTTCAAAATCAAAATATTGATATATCCATCTGGACCAAAACTAATGATTTCAAAAAAGCATTTTCAATTCGATTTTAACTATTTGACGATTTCGTTATTCAATCCTAAATCAGAAATTTGAAAAATAAATTTGATTCGTATATATTGATCCACCTATCCACATTTGAATAAACCACATTTCATTTCTTGAAAATTAAACCACATTAATAACATTCAGAATTGACATTAGAAAAGGGTAGTTCAACTGCTGGTTCACTTGGAAATATAACTATTATCATACTATAATTAGCATAGAGTAAAACCCCAAGTTAAAAACATTCTGAAACCTGAAAAAAATCTTCCTTGAACGTACAAAATATTTTCCCACAAGTTCCAGAATATTATGCTCTGACCCCCCAATATTCCCTTTTCTATACAAAAAACAGTCACTAAATTGAGTCACCAGAATGATTCTATACATAATTGTGAAAACTAGATGACCAAAATCCTCTGCACTGATACACAAACACGCCATGGGTAAATAAGTTTTCCTTGTCAAACAAGAAAATGGCATTTAATTTTAACTCTGCACCCAATAAATTTACCTTCGGGCCCTTTAAATTTGACTATTTGTTGTCATGCATAGGTAAAAAGGGAGTGGAAATAGTAATTTTCCTCTAATGTGAAGGAGATAAAAAATCTAGAAAATGGGATGTGGAAATAATAATTTTCTTATATGCTCAAACAACCAGCCAATCCTCTGTTCCCTTATCAGTATCAAGCATGCCCCAATTCTCTTTCCCACGCGCATTAACTTCACGGCAACATCAGAAACCATGCACTGATATATAACATGATATCTGAAGTCGCCAGATTCAAATACGCGCGTAGTTTGGTGAGGGATTCGGAAATTGCTGAAAGCTGCCGACAACTCTACTCCGGGAAACGGCGGCACGAGTGACGGCCGCTGGCAACAGAAAAACTCCGTATTTTTTTTTTTCACGGAACATCGCTTTCTCAAAGGTTAAACCCCAACTTTGAAAGTCCTCACGACCCTATTCCTAGAGCTTTGTGAGGTAAATAAATTGTGTGATGTGTCCCAACAGACTAAGGAACGAGAGCTGTCTGTATACTTTAACATTGCTTTCTCTCTCATCATATTAGGGAGTTACTTCCTTTGATGTAAAATTTTCAATTAGTGAATTCGTGAAAATGGATTTTTCTTTTCCCAAAAATGCGATTAAAAAGTATATAAAAGTTATGAATTTAAGAGTAAAATTCTTGTAGTGAAGGACTCTATAATTGAAAATGAATTTGAGAAAATAAAATTTTGAAATTTTTTAAATCAAACGAGGGTAAATTATAATTAAGTGGACCACTTTCACATTTTGTATGACTCATATCTTGTTGTCACCTATTATCTACCCGTTTTCGTATAATCCACGAGTAACAAGTCCTTAAGAACACTATTTTACAAACACAATATTTATATTTAATGTTTATTATCACTTGGGTTCAATGTCATGTAATCTAATAGGCTAATTCAAGCATTTCAAACCACGTGATGGTGACCCACGTAAAATTGGTGACAATGATAGTGACGATGAATAACAGTATTCTAGTAAGGAATGGCATTTTTGTGTGACTCATATGTTAAAGTCCCTCATTATTTACACTTATCATAGGACCCACAGGTAAAAAAATCTGTAAAAGCATTACCAAACAAGCACAATATTCATGCTTGATACCAATTATCACATGGAACCACACTCACATTATCTAATATACTAAGAGCATCTTCAAGAAAATCTTTAAACAATCAGCCTTTAAAATCATGCTCCAATAAATTTTTTAAATTAAAATTTTAATTTGGAGAGTGAGATTGGCTTTCCAATCTATAATTAAATACATTCAAAGTATATTCAATTTTTAATATAAGAAAATAAATAATAAAATAATCTAAAGAAAAAGCTAGTTAAAATAAAAGATAGAATAAAATAATAAATATTTTTTTAGTGTAATAAAATTAAGTGTTAAATATAAAGAGTTTATTGGACTATTTTAAAATTTTAACTCTCTAAATTTATGAATACTCTCCAAATGATAGAACGTACTCATTAAAAATAGAGTCTCTTAAAGATGTGGACCGCAAGGAGTGCCAAGTCGAGGCAAACTTTGAATGGTAGATATGACCTCTCTAATTCCAGAAAAAAAAAAGCATTATAAACAATGTGACAATGGCCTACATAAGGTGACATAAGTAGTGACAATGAGTGGCATTATTCTAGTCGGGAAGACATATTTGTAGAACTCATATCTTACCGTCCCTCATTAACTACACCTTTTGTAGGACCCACGACTAAAAAGTTCTTAAAAGCATTGTCAAACAAGCATGATATTCATCTTTAATACTGATTATCATGTGAGATGTCACGTTATCTAATAGACTAATTTTTTAAAAAATGCATTTCAAACAATCTAATTGTGGTCTGCATAAAAAGTGACTTTAACATGATGATGAATAACATTATTTTAATTGGGAGAATTTTCATCAAGAACCACCAAAATTGAGTCAGAATCAAAGCAAAATAGTCTGTTCAAATCAATATTATTTAAGATCTAAATAGTTTTGATTTTAAAAATAGAGAATTGACTCGGATACCAAACTTAACCTTCATTTGGTACACATTCTTAAAAAATCTATTTCTTCTAAATTCATTTTCAATCATACAATTCTTCAAATAATATATTTTTGCACATCGACAGATAAATTTCTATAGTTTTTAACCATACGATCTCCAAAAGAGTTCACTTTAAAAAAAAAAAAATTATTCTCATAAAATATATATTAAACAACTCCTTATATATGCAACCAAATTTTACTTTATTTCAAGATTGTTTTTCTCGATATGACAATATAAAGAAATAATCAAAACTAGGTATGTAAAACCCTAAAAGATTACGCAAAGGAGCAGTGCTTCATCTTCGTGGGGCTAATAAGCTCGAGCTCAATATTGATGTTGCAGTTCGCAATTAGGTAAGGATTATTGGTATTGGGGGTTATTATCCATGGTCGTGACAACTTGTAAACTGATGACGGTTTTACTTTTTGTTGGGAGAGATCAAAATTCTCGTATTAAGGGATTGACGTTTGCATGAGAATGTTTGTGTTCGTTCGGATATAACTATCAATCTGCGTGTTATTCATGGTCTTAAATTCAATTGTAATCTTTTAACGAACGATCTTCTTATTTTGGATCATTTACCTGGAAAATGAGTTGTAAAATGTGTAGCTATATATTTCGTTGGCGATCGAGTATCAATCATTGTTTACCTCCATTCGATATGATTCTTATCGAAATGAGGTGGAACTGAACCACGTCATCCTCCGGGGTCACATATGTAACTTTGACTGAAAATTTTAATTAATTCTCCAAACGTAGTTTAATTTGTTGGGATATGTCTTTCTCTATCATTAGAACACACATTGGCGTCGGTTCTGAGTGTGTACTTTAATGGAGTAAGAGCCGTTGATAACATTAAACACACTCCCTTAGTCTCTTTCGCCTCACACTCTTATTGCTGCTCTGCCTTACGGTTCACGCCAAACGCCTGCTGTTCACTCTCTCCCTCTCTACATAAACGCACATTCATATTTACACTTGCACAGACTTGGTGTCTTATCCATCATAAACATTCATGAGAGAGATATGAACTCTGCTCTGCTGCTATTCACTACTCTTAACTTCTTCATTCTCGTTTCTCTCCAGTGATTTACTGCCTCTGGAATTGTGCTACATTTCGTCATTTTTCTTCTCTTCTTCTTTCGATTCTTTGCATTTTGCTCTGTTTGACGTTGGGTTGGAGGAGGCAACGTTGTTGGTTTTCGAAAAGAACAAGAAAATGAAACTGGGTTCCTTTTCTGTAATGGTGGTGTTTTTGCTTTTGTTACCTCTCGCTTCACCTCTCAGTGATGAAGGTTCATCTCTCTCTGTCGATTGATGCAAGTGTGTGTGTCTGTGAGTTATTTTTCTTTGTGTGGGTTCTTGACCTTCAAATCACAACGATTCTTCGGAATGTTCTGGGATAATGTTTCATTATACACAGTGTTTTCACCATTTTTATAAAATCTCTTTTCTATCAGAGATAGCTGAATGAAATTTTAATCTTTATTTCTATTTTATAGTCTTATTCTAAGTATTTTTAAGAATGTATGCAATTCCCTGCAACTGTGTAACAGAGTTACGCTATTGATTATGATTAAAAGTGAAGTTATGGGTTCCCTATATTTAAATAGGAATTAGTACAAAGACCAGTTTTTTTGCTCGAAAAAGAGGATACACATAGTTTTTCATTCAAATTCTTTGTTTCATTCTTTTCAAGTAAAAACAAAGTCCCATTTCTCCTTAGTAAGGAAAAAAATTTTATTTATTTATTTATTTTTGTAATATCATCTGTGATGTACATTGGCATAAAAAAAGGGCACATTGGCATAAAAAAAAGGGACTTCAACTTTGTTGATTTGTTGTGTAAATTGATGTTGATAATAGGCAAGGCATTAATGTCCATAAAAGAATCATTCAGCAACGTGGCTAATGTGCTGCTGGATTGGGATGACGTTCATAACGACGATTTTTGTTCATGGCGAGGCGTAACTTGTAGCAATTTCAGCACTTCTGTTGCTGCGCTGTATGTATTTTGCCCTCACTTTTTTCAATATATTGGGTGCCCACTCGCATCTGACCAATTTTAACTTTCGTGATGGTTTTTTGGGTAAAGAAATTTGTCGAGCCTCAACTTGGGGGGAGAAATTTCGCCAACCGTTGGAGATTTGAAGAATCTGCAATCTCTGTATGTTTTCTGCAACAAACCTCTTTTATTCCATAACTAGATGTTAGATGTTAGGCAAAAATGTCCTAGATCAAAAGTCTGACCAAATTGTTATCTTTTGCTAAACTCTGTGAACGTATCTTTTGCTTCCTTTATTTTGTATTTGGGGGCTTGACAGCCTTGCGTCTTTAACTCGAGAACCACAAGAAACTTGAGGGTATTTACGAAGAGTATCATCTGTACATGTTTTCTTGATACTTGTTGGATTAAAACAAAACGCAAACCAATTATTCATAGTTACTCTTTTGTGAAATTTGCAATCTATCCAATTTCCTTATTAAATTCTGATTTTTGAGATTCTGAAAATTACAGTGTCAGTGCAGCCTCAGGCGTCAAAGATATGCATTATTCAAGAATCTCTAGTTGAAGTTATTCTCATAAAAATGTAATATGTATATTTGTAGTGACCTCCAGGGAAACAATTTAACTGGTCAAATTCCAGATGAGATTGGTTACTGTGTCTATCTGATGCATTTGTAAGAACAACTTTATCTCTTCATTTTACATATTTTTATAACATTTGACCTCTTAATGCTGTACGTACGATAAATTTTTATTCATTTTAGTGATTGCTATATGTTTCAGGGATTTATCAAATAACATGTTATATGGGGACATACCCTTCTCAATCTCTAAGCTTAAGCAACTTGATTTCTTGTAAGTTATATTTTTTGCTGCATTTTCACCTTTTTGTCAAATAGACTTTAGTTTCAAGACTTGAAGTTCGAGTAAATCATCTCAAACAGGAACTTGAAGAACAACCAGTTCACTGGTCCGATTCCTTCTACGCTCACACAGATTCCTAACCTTAAAACTCTGTAAGTGCCCTTGTCTTTCGCTTGGAGACTCTTTATTTTGTTTCTGACACTTCTCCAAGTTGACAATCTTTTGTTTCTTGTAATACTAATTGCTCTTCATTGGCATATTTCTCTAGTGATCTTGCTCAAAACCAGCTTACAGGTGAGATACCAAGATTGATATACTGGAACGAAGTACTTCAGTATCTGTAAGTAAAAAGGGTTGTGCTTAATAGCTACTATCACGTTTAGTTAGTCTACGTATATGAGTTATCTTCCCTTCCAATGTAGCTTGTCGTGATGTGCAACTATTCTTCATCACTTTTTCACATGATTGAAACAGTGGTTTGCGCGGAAATTCATTAGCAGGATCATTGTCCCCTGATATGTGCCAGCTCACCGGCCTGTGGTTCTTGTATGTGTTCTTCCCTGTGCTCTTTATGGATCAAATCTTTTTCATCTGGGAATGTTTTGCTAAGCTTAGTCTTAACTTACTTTCTGGAGGTGAAGCTTTTAAGATTAGCCAAACTTGCTTTATACCCTTTATTGCAACTTCACATTCGTCTGTTTTGCAGTGATGTAAGGGGTAATAACCTGACCGGAACAATCCCAGACAACATTGGTAATTGTACAAGTTTTGAGATCTTGTAAGTTCTTCTCCTATAATACTGTTGTATCAAAATTTGCCATTAAAGCCTTATGATTCTGAAAATCTATTCATCCAGGGATATCTCCTACAATCAGATCACTGGAGGGATTCCTTACAATATAGGGTTTCTACAAGTGGCTACTCTGTAAGTTAAATTCTTCTTGATTGTACTTCTGCATGAGGATGTCGCAATAAGTTTACAAAATGCCAATCTTCCTTGCTATCAGTATGTTCAAGTATTTTCAAATCTATACACCTATAATCTACTTATGGTCCATTGCAAATGGCTTGTTTCTCGACAGGTCTCTACAAGGAAATCGGCTAACTGGAAAGATTCCAGAGGTGATAGGTTTAATGCAAGCCCTTGCTGTCCTGTAAGTATGCATGTTATTCTCATAGAATTTTTTGGATAAGTAAAAAATGTATACCTCTTTGTACTTCGTCTTTTGGTTAAGTTTTCAGTTACAATCTTGAAATCTCAAACAAAATCTTGCACTTATTCAGGGATTTAAGTGAAAATGAACTAGTTGGACCAATACCTGCTATTCTAGGCAATCTGTCTTACACCGGAAAGCTGTGAGTTCAAGGCTTGTTGTGCTTTTGACTCAAGTTTCTTGTCTCTATTAATGCGGGCATAATAAATCTTGTGTATCTTAGGTATCTTCATGGGAACAAGCTTACTGGAAGAATACCACCTGAGCTGGGAAATATGACAAAACTAAGCTATTTGTTAGATATATTTCTTGATGCAACTTTTTGAATTTTGGGTTTTTGTTTTTACCTTGTATCCTCGGCTGCTGACCAAGCTCATTTGCAGGCAACTAAATGAGAATCAATTGAATGGTGTAATTCCTGCCGAACTTGGGAAATTGGAACAACTTTTTGAGTTGTAAGTCCTTTGCTTTTTATTGATATACATTTTTGGTGCCCTTAAACTATCACCAGGTTCAAGATTTGATATCATCTTCCAGAAATCTTGCAAACAACAATCTTGAAGGGCCCATTCCTGATAACATCAGTTCTTGTACAGCATTAAATCAATTGTAAGATCTCTCATTTATTTTCACTAAGCTTCCCTATGTTTCCCATATCGAACTTAGTGAGTGGATTTTGACTGGAGGTCTTTTCCCCTTTGTTTTTCATTCCTGTAGGAATGTGCATGGTAATCGCTTAAATGGTTCAATTCCATCTGGACTGAAACATCTAGAGAGCCTAACTTATTTGTATGTTCTTTTCGTGATTACTTGTTATTGTTGATAGCTTAACTTCAACTTCTTGTCATTGAGAAGATCTATAACTTGATCCACAGGAATCTTTCATCCAACCAGTTTATGGGCAGCATACCAGTTGAGCTGGGGCATATCATCAATCTTGACACATTGTGAGTGCTAAGTTTAAACGTTATCATTATTTCACAGGCAACCTCTGTTGTGACATTGTTGGTTTCTTATTTAGGGATCTATCAAGCAATGGTTTTACTGGACAAATTCCTGCTTCTGTTGGAGATCTGGAGCATCTTCTTACACTGTAAGACATGAATATTCTTAGAATGTGACATCATGTAATGATTCTGTGATACGTGTGATTTTTCTGAGTGTATGCTTACACCAAATAATAGGAATTTAAGTCGCAACCATCTTGATGGCCAAATTCCTGCTGAATTCGGTACTCTTAAGAGCATACAGGAAATGTGAGTTTCTGTTGAGAATGGAGTATGCTTTATTTTCCTTCTCCTTCATCATACCAGTGACTAAAAACCTCACTAACAAAGGATTCATCGCTGTAGCGATATTTCATTCAACACATTGTGGGGCAGCATCCCAGAAGAGTTGGGGCAGCTGCAAAATCTCGCCTCTCTGTAAGTTACTCTGAAGTCATGTTGTGTTTAGATGACTTATTCTTTTCTTATGTTATGTTAACAATTGCTTATTCACTTGTAACTTTTTAAGCTTAGCCAAACATGCTCACGAGCCTAACAATTCAACTGTTGTTTTCCATTTGATCACCCTATAATCTTGTAACATCCTGTGAGCAATAATATAACAATTATTTTGTTGTTTATATTTTGCTGCAGCATTCTAAATGACAACAATTTGAATGGAAGAATTCCCAACCAACTAACTAATTGTTTGAGCCTTGCCTATCTGTGAGTTCCATTACTTAACATTGTCACATTTTTAGGACTTAAATCTCGTTGTGGGTAACTGATGCATGTGTATGCAGGAATATTTCATACAACAACTTTACCGGGGTTATCCCACAGGGCAAAAACTTCTCCCGGTTTCCACCTGACAGGTACAGGAGGAACAAGGACCATACTTTCAAGCTTACCAAAACTTTCAATCCAGTTTCTCTCTTTGTTCCCTTACCCTTGATATATCATTTCTGATCCATGCTTAATACATCAATGCCAGCTTCATTGGAAATCCATTATTATGTGGTAACTGGCCGGGTTCAATATGTGACCCCACTCCAAAAATCAAAGGTATACATGATGCTATATCGAAAATCCAGTATTATTATTGATTTTTTTCTTTTTTTTTTTCTCCTGTGCATGCATGCTTCTGACTTGGTGTGGAGGGCTAATGAATGGTTTTGATGCGTCGTGCAGCTATGATTTCCCAAACAGCTGTTGTTTGCGTTACATTAGGCTTCATTGCTTTGTTATCCATGATAATAGTTGCTATTTACAAGTCCAATGTGCCAAACCAGTTTCTGAAAGAATCCAACCAGAGCATTCAAGGTTTTACAGTTCTTCATATAAATTTTCCTACCTCAAACAATATTTTCTTTGTCCAGATTTACAAGTATGTTACTTTCTTGTCAGGTTCGCCAAAACTTGTTGCTCTTCACCTGGATTTGTCAATTTATACATATGATGATATTATGAGGCTCACTGAGAATTTGAGCGAGAAATACATAATAGGATATGGAGCTTCCAGCATTGTATACAAATGCATATTGAAAAATTCCCGATCAATTGCAATTAAGCGACTTTACAGTCAGTATCAATGTAATTCTGGCGAGTTTGAGACTGAACTCGAGACAATTGGCAGTATCAGGCACAGAAACTTTGTGAGCTTGTATGGATACTTGCTTTCACCCCAGGGAAATCTTCTCTTCTATGATTATATGGAAAATGGTTCTCTATGGGATCTTCTTCATGGTTGGTAACTCCATTTATCATTTTCATTTTCATTTTCGAGCATTACTACAAATGTAATGTCTAACGTGTTCATTAATCCTTGTATCAAACGTTTACTAAATGTATTTGGGCAACATCCATGCAGATCCATCTAAAAAGGTAAAACTCGACTGGGAAACACGCCTGAAAATTGCTGTTGGTGCTGCACAGGGACTCGCTTATCTTCACCATGATTGCAACCCAAGAATCATTCATAGGGACGTAAAATCCTCAAATATTCTGCTCGATGCAAATTTTGAAGCTCATATCTCTGATTTCGGCATTGCAAAATGTATACCTAATGCAAAAACTCATGCATCTACCTATGTTCTTGGAACGATAGGCTATATCGACCCTGAGTATGCCAGGACTTCCAGGCTAACAGAAAAATCTGATGTCTATAGCTTTGGCATTGTTCTTCTTGAGCTATTGACTGGAAAGAAGGCTGTGGATAACGATCTGAACTTGCATCAGCTGGTATTATTTTCCTTTAATCACATTATTCGTTGAGTAATTGTTTTCAGTCACTAGCACCAAAATTTAAATCGAAAGACGTGGACAATAATATATTTATCACTTCCTCCAAGCTAAGCAAAACATGATCCTTACCTTTCCACTTGTGTTTATTCAGATATTATCGAAAGCAGATGATAACACGGTGATGGAGACCGTGGATCCCGACGTGTCTGTTACCTGCATGGACTCAAGTCACATAAGGAAAACCTTTCAACTTGCTTTACTTTGTACGAGACCTCATCCATTCGAAAGGCCAACGATGCATGATGTTTCTCGGGTTCTTGTCTCCTTACTGCCACCCCCTCCGATGAAAACTTGCTCGGCTTCTCCTACAAGTATCAACTATGCAAAGTTTGTGATTGGAAAAGGACAGACCCAACTGCACATGCCTCCACAGCAACTCCAGCAAGACAACAATTCTTCTGATGCTCAATGGTTTGTTAAATTTGGTGAAGTTATATCCAAAAACAGTCTCTAAGATTATTGATGGATCCATTTATATCTATTATGGAAGGTGGGGATGGATCAAGGGACGTGATAATCCCAATTTCCTTTTATCACATTACTGAAACAACTAGATGAAAATTGCCGGGATTATATTTAGCTTTTTGGTACAAGAAAACCTAAGACCATTTATATATGTACTGTGATACTTCTTAAATTTCTATATATACAGGTATTTACACCGCTAGTAAATCCTATCATGTTCATTTAGTTATTTTGTTGTTTCATAATCTGACTGTTTCTTGTATTGGTTTAATGTGCACTCAGCATTTTGATTTTGCATCTGCATGCTGATTCTTTTGTTTTTCGGTTCTCGATGCACATGCAATGGAGAATGTGGTTCTTATAGTTATGTCAAATCAACTCATCTAAAAGTTTAAAACGAAACAGTTCAACTGTCAAGTCAACATATCATGTATTTATGAAAATTATCTGCATGAATATAAAATCCTTTCTTTGATGAGAATATGAAATCAACAAAATCTTTGCTTAAATTACTCGATTAACACTGCATAATATAGTTACAAACTAGTTTTTGGATAAAACTGAAGTTAAAGTGAACTGAGAGAGATGACAATAACATCACAACATATATGCCGTGGGCAATTATCACCATAGGCATTTGAATCACATGAAATGTCTTTTCTACAAAAACACCAAAAGGAAAAGTAATTTGTGGGACAATCGAGAGGCCTACTTGAAAAAAAAAATGTCTATATAATAAGATCATTATGCTGATGGTTACTTTTCTTTCGGATGTACTTAACTAAGATTTTCAAGGCGATTAGCCTTCAGACCTTTTGAAGCTCAAAACAATATCCTTGTCCATCTGCATAAAAGAAAAGAAAAGAAAGGATTGGATCCAAGGGTATGTATAGGAAACTAATCGTGCAAATGAATACATTTGGGAAGTGTTTAAAAACATGTAAAAATGAGTAGTGAAAAAGTGGATAGCATACTTACAGATTTTGCCAGCTCTTTAGCCTTCTCATCGTCAAAACCAAGTGCAGCCAGTATCTTATGCCCTGCAGCTTCCGTTTCTGACCAAATACCAAGTAGTAAATGTGCCGTCGTTACTTCCCCACTTTCACCTGCTTATAAATTCTGTTCAGTCAAAAAATATTGTAACAGCTAAAATGTGGCATAAATGTCACAAAGAACAACAACTGCTGATATAATTTTTCATGAGAGCAACTTGCATTTGAAAATATCCCTTGTTTAAGGCCCCATTTTTATCAAAATACGTTTTTCTCTTTCTTCTTTTCAATCACACAATATTCAATAAAATAATATTACACATAAATCAAAAATTTTCCCACACATTCTCCAAAAAATCACTATTCAGAAATACATTTTTAACCTATCAAATCTATAATTTAAGTTTGGCTTTGGCCAGTTTTGGTGATCAACTGTGAATCCACTAAAGCTTGAATTTTTCTAGATTTCAATATCACAAAAGATGGTGTATAACTGTTACACCACAGCTTACTAGCATGAAGAATGCAAAAGCTTAGGATTGTCAGATGAGAGACTTCATGGAGTGTAGAAGATGCTAGTAATGCTCTTTAATATTTCCCCCAAAAAATAAAAAATAAAAAAATCCAACAGAAATATAAATATTGTAATGTCTCCCATTAGCTTTTAAGCCTTTTATCCTAGCCCCTGTCTAACAACAATTATTTGGGAAAAGCAGAGTTTTGAATAGTGAATTTTAGGAAAATGTGTGGTTAAAAAGTAATGAAAAGTTATGGTTTATGTGCAGAATATTTTATTTTATGAATGTGTAGTTGAAAACATGGGTATGTAGAAAAAAAGAGTTTGAAAATAATGGTTGTCAAACAGGGGCTTAGTTTCCTCGCTCTAAACCAGCAACAGCGTCTAACTAGGCAATGATAGCAATTGCACAGGGTAGCAGAAGATAAATATTATGCACAAATGTCTCCTGAACATTGTTATATTTTTAGCGAAGTTACATAAAGCACTAATTCAGTTAGTATTACCAAATCAATATTGCATTGACAAAATGCTGTTAATAGGTAATCATACAATTATGTAAGTAATGGACAAGGATTACCTGACTTCAATTTTTCATCTAACGCCCAATCAAGAGCCCTTTGAGCTGGTTCAGTCAAGGGAGGATGCTCGGGACTGAAGAAATACATGTCAGATTTTCCAAGCAATTTCAAAGTTTCTTCTCGCACCTTGAAAAGTGTAATACCATTTTCCCTCAAAAACTTTGCAGCCAAACTAGTTCCTGAAAAAAATAAATAAATAAATAAATAATACAAGCACATAAGTGGCTCATAATGATTCCATGATGAAGATCCTTCTTTGAATTTAAATAAATTAAAAAAAAAAAATCCAATTTCTTTCAAATAACACCAAATTGCAACTATGCCAGCATTTTGACAATATTTCAACACGGCAATTCCTTCAATATCTAGGTATGGATTCATAGATATAAATTGTTGACACATAAAAAATATCAAAACAGTTTAGGAATCCACCTACGTGCTCAATCTATTCATAAATGTACATTTCAGTCACAATTCAATTTATTAGGAAAACAGGTCCCCAACCTTCAATTTTGTAGGTGGGTCTCTAAAAATGGATTCATTCATCCAAGATTGTTGCTAAAACATCACATGGCTCATTCTTGAGGCACTCTTTGAGGGGTATATTGAAGAACCCAATATCATTGCAATATCAGATTTACAATATAAGAAAGTTCATCTAGCAATCAAATAAGCTGAACTAATTTTCATAGCAATATCAGATTTATGAAATACAAAGAGTTCATCTAGCAATCGAATAAGCAGAAATAATTATCACAGCAATATAAGATTTATGAAATACAAAGAATCCGAGTGAATTATAATTCTACAAACAAACTGGATTAACATGAATTATCATTTAATTACCAACCTTCAACCAAAATGCCCATTAGCAAAGCTTCAGTTCCAGTGTTTGGGTACTTGAACTTCCTGGCCTCCAACTCCGCCATTGCAAATGACTTTATTGCCCTGGCTGACCATCTACAGACACCATTGTTCAATAGCTCTCAGTACCAATTCTAAAATATACACATGATTAATAACCACAATTCAACGACAACCCGTATTCATATTTATATAAACATAAAATTGAAAAACATACTTAGGTTTCCCCTCAGATGCATTTCTCTCCTGTTTTCTGCAAACCCCAAAATTGACAACACAAATAATAACTCAAATGAACAATAAGTAAAAATGTATGTATATAATGCATGTGAATGAACAGAATTGTACCCAGTGGGGAGACTGTACAGGACAGTAGCAACAGTAGAACTACGTCGTTTTGCTGCTAAAATTGAGAAATTCGATGATTGGATCGAAAGCTTCGTACCAATAAAAGAATTTGACAGACTCTCAGACTTGAGAATCAAAGAATTCTCAATGGGCTTCTTGCAAGTTTGTGAAGGTATTATTGGTAGCACAGAAAGTGTGAGAGCAGCCATTTGAGTTCTCGACAGACCCGGATTCAATGGAAACTGGAAAATTGGTTGTAGGGTATAATAAGAATCTGGACTACTATATTGGAGGTTAAAGAAGAAACTGTTGTTTCAATTTAGCGGAATAGAATTTGAAGATTTTAAGGTTGGTAAGATGTAAATGAATAGATAGACTTGAAAGTGAACATTGCAGCGGGTAGATTAAAGGAAGATGCTGGCCTCGACTGACGATATCTTTTTGATCAAATGCGATTCTAGTATAAACCGGAGGGAACTGCAGCGAAAAAACCTCCACAATACCCGGCCCGCAGAGAAGTTGATTAGTTGGGCTGAGCTTAGTTAAATTGTGAATGGGCTTATGGATCCATTTTTCATCAATAATCGGTCCCATTTATTGAGCCAAACATTTGTGATATAATTAGGAATTGTACCTTTTTTCTTCACGACTTTGAAGTATACACGACAAAATTTTTATTGCATATATATTGATTATCTTTCACAATATAGTTTTTGTGACGATCCAACCATGTGCTTAAGCCGTAACTCATAACTATAGTTTATTTTAAAGGACCATGCGTGATAAGTCCAGCCGCATTCCAGCTGCAATTTCAGCTGATTTTTTAATCAGTTTCTTCCTTTTGAAGTCATTGAAAATCAGTCACAATTTGTTACCAATTTCTTAATGAGCAAATCTTTCCCCATGCAAAAGACAAATTGAAGGCAGCCACCCATTTTGATTCTTCAACAGTGAACTATGTGGCAGGTTTTTTGGCCAGAATTTCATGACGGTTTGTAGCAAAAAAAAATCTATAAATATATGCTACCATAAAGAGAATTTTTTATGTCCCATGAGAAGAAGAAAGTAGTGTATAAAAGAGAGAAAAAAATAGAGAGATTGGAGAGAGTTCTTGAAAGGTTTTTTTTAGAGAGTTTGTAATATTCTATTGTAAATTATATTCAAGATAAAAATAGTAGTTTTTCCTCTTTTTTTATCTTCTCTTTTCGTGATTGGAGAATCACAACAAGTGGTATCAGAGCAATGTTTATCAATTGGCTCTTACAGTTTTGATACAACTTCCTTTTTTTTATAAAGCTTTTGCAAGCCAAGATGTCAATAGAGGAATCTTCATCAGGAGCTATGATCAAGCTCACTGCGACTAATTACACACTGTGGAGGCCTCGAATGGAAGACCTCCTTAGTTGTAAGGATTTGTATGATCCCCTGGAAGCCAAAGGTGAAAACCCCGATCCTACCAAGGAGACAGAGTGGAAGAAGCTAAATAGAAAAAACTATCGGTCAGATTCAACAATGAATTGATCATAGTGTTTTTCACCACGTAGCACAAGAGACAGATGCATATGCCCTCTGGAAGATTCTGGAGGACATGTACCAGGCCAAAATCGCTCGAAACAAAGCCCTGTTGATGAGGCGTTTGGTGAATTTGAAGTTAAAGAGTGGAACTTCAGTTGTTGAGCATACCAGTGAGTTTTAGAGCTTGGTAAACCAATTGTCATCTGTGGAGATGCCGCTTGGGGATGAAATACAAGCCTTACTACTTTTAAGTTCTCTTCCTAATAGTTGGGAGACATTAGTAGTATCTCTTAACAACTCAGCCCATGCTGGCAAACTTACCATGTCTACGGTCAAGGATGCCCTATTTAATGAAGAGGTCAGGAGAAAAGACGTAGACACGGACCAATCACATGCCCTTATCATAGAGAACCGGGGAAGACAGAAAGGAAGCGTTCAAGGCAGGGGGAGAGGCAGAAGCAAAAGTAGGGATAGATCCATAGATGGAAAGAAGCCTACTTACAAGTGTTACTGTTGTGGTATGGAGGGCTACTTGAAGAAGAATTGCAGTAAATTGCTACGAGAGCAAGACCAGAACAATTTGCAGTCGAAAAATAAGGAAGGAGAGACACTAGTCACTATTTCTGGGGGAGGTGGCTATCTGCTCCATCCATGAGGAGACATATCTTCATGTCTCAAACCAAGATATTGAGTGGGTAATAGACATTGCAGCTTCTTACCATGCCACTCCACGCAGAGATTTCTTCACAACATACAAAGTCGGCGACTTTGGTACAGTGAAGATGGGAAATACCAGTTCTTCTAAGATTGTGGAAATTGGTGATGTCCAGATACAAACGAACCTCGGGTGTAAAATAACCCTGAAAAATGTTTGACATATACCTGATTTTCGGCTAAATTTACTTTCAAGGATAGCCCTTGACAAACACGGCTATGTCAATCGCTTTAGCAATAGCACATGGAAAATGATGAAATGTTCCATTGTTGTTGCTTGAGGACATATATGTGGTACTTTATACAAGACTCATGTGAAGATGCATATGGATAGCCTCAACGTAGAAGAACGTGAAGCTTCTCAAAATTTGTGGCACTAGAGACTTGGTCACATGAGTGAGAAGGGGTTGTCTACTTTGACAAGGAAAGAGCTAATCACAGTTGCCAAGGAAGCTGTGCTAGACCCTTGCAATCACTGTCTATTTGGGAAGCAACATAGGACTTCAATTTCTCTTTGACAAGACGATTAGAGTTGCTCAATCTAGTACACTCTGATGTTTGTGGACCCTTGGAGGTTTAATCACTAGGCGGTAACAAGTATTTTTTGACATTCATTGATGATGCCTCTCGAAAGGTGTGGGTATATTTCTTGAAGATGAAGGACCAAGTATTGGATTATTTCAAATCATTTCATGCCATGGTTGAGTGTGAAATGGGAAAGAAGCTGAAATGTCTCTGCACAGATAATGGAGGCGAGTATACTTCCAAAGAGATTGAAGCCTATTGTAGGACATACGACATTCGACATGAGAAGATGGTCCCACGTACCCCACAGCATAATGGAGTCACCGGGAGGATGAATCGGACGATCATGGAAAAGGTCAGAAGCATGACAAGTATTATTAAGCTGCCAAAGCCATTTTGGGGAGAAGCTGTTCGAACCGCCCACTACTTGATCAACAGATCACCATCAGTATCGTTGAATTTTGAAATTTCGAAGAAAGTATGGTCTGGTAAATATCCCTCTTATTCTCACCTGAGAGTATTTGGCTGTTTAGCCTTTGTACATGTATCCAAGGAACTAAGACAAAAGCTAGATGCAAGGACCATTCCATGCATCTTTATAGGCTATGGAGATGAGGAATTTGGATACAAATTATAGGATCCAAAGACAAAAAAGGTCATCAGAAGCAGGGGACGTAGTGTTCCAAGAAGACCAGACATTAGAAGACATTAAAAGGCCCACAATATTTCCTAATTCTAATTTTGGTACCTAGAATATTGCTCCAGATCCAGCACAAGCACAATTCACCATAAATAATGACGATGTGTATGAGGAAATGTTGAAAGCAGAACGGAGGGATAAAGAAAAGGATATTAATAAGGGGAGTCACAATCCTCTTCACCAGAAGTTGTCAGACCATCACATCAATTAGATGATAGTGCACCTCTTGAAACCAACAATCCATAGGTACGAAGATCTGAACGAAGACAGATTCCATCAACAAGATATCCAGAATCAGAGTACACTTTGCTCACTGACAAAGGAGAGCCAGAGAGCTTTTAGTAAGCACAAACTCACGTAGACAAAGACAAGTAGATACGAGTAATGCAGGATGAGATGGAGTCACTACAAAAAAATCAAACATATGAGTTGGTTGAGCTTCCGAAGGGAAAGAAGGCATTAAGGAATAGATGGGTTTTCAAGTTCAAGAAAGATGACAGCGAAAATGTGGTAAAACATAAAGCCCGTTTGGTAGTCAAGGGATTTCTTCAGAAGAAGGGAATTGACTTTGATGAGATTTTTTCACCTGTTGTAAAGATGGCCTCAATTCGAGTTATCCTTGGATTAGTAGTCAGTTTGAATTTAGAGCTTGAACAGATGGATGTCAAGACAATATTTCTTCATGTTGATTTATATGAAGAAATTTATAGGAAGCAGCCAGAAGGTTTTGAAGTTTCAAGTAAAGAGAACTTCGTTTGCAAGTTGAAAAAGAGTTTGTATGGTATTAAGCAAGCACCAAGGTAGTGGTACAAAAAATTTGACTCGTTCATGGTGAGTCAAGGTTACAAAAGAACTGCTATAGATCAATGTGTTTATATCCAGAGGTTTTCCAGATGGCAATTTAGTTGCTCTTTTATTATATGTAGACGACATGTTGATCATTGGACAAGATGTAACAAAAATTAGCTAGCTGAAGAAGAAACTCTCTACATGAAGGACTTAGGTCAGCTCAATAGATTTTAGGAATGCACATAACCCGAGATAGGAAGAATAAAATGTTGTGGCTATCTCAAGAAAAGTATGTTAAACGAGTGATCAAGAGATTCAACATGCATAATGCCAAACCCGTCAGCATTTCACTGGCCAACCACTTCAAGTTGAGGAAAATTTCATGCCCCTCATGCAAGAAAGAGATAGAGGAGATGTTATTGATACCTTATTCTTTAGCAATTGGAAGCTTGATGTATGCCATGGTATGTACAATGCCAGATATTGCCCATACAGTAGGCATGTTGAGTTGTTTTATTTCTAATCCTGGAAAGGAACATTGGGAGGCAGTCAAGTGGATTCTCAGGTACCTTAAAGGAACATCAAATATATGTCTGTACTACGGGGGAGTTGATCCAATCTTGGAAGGTTATATAGATTCAGATATGACTGAAGATCTTGATAATAGAAAATCTACTTCAGAATTTCTCTACACTTTTGCAGGGGGAGCTGTTTCATGGCAGTCAAGACTACAAAAGTGTGTTGCTTTATCTACAACAGAAGCAAAATATATTGCAGCGACGAAAGCAAGTAAAAAAATGTTGTGGTTAAAGCGATTTCTCTAATAATTAGGGATCAAGCAGAAAGATTACAAAGTACATTTTGACAGTCAAAGTGCTATTGACTTAAGTAAGAATTCAATGTGCCATTCTCGGACAAAGCACATTGACATCCGCTATCGTTAGATAAGAGAAGTGATGGATCAACAACTGTTGAAACTAGTGAAGATTCAAACAAATGAGAATCCAACAGATATGTTAACAAAGGTGGTTCCAAGAGAAAAGTTAGAGCTATGCAGAGACATAGTTGGGATGATTGTCAAATAACAATTGATTTAAATGCGACTGGAGGGGGAGAATTGATAAGTCCAGCCGCATTCCAACTACAATTCCAACTAGTTTTTAATCAATTTCTTCCTTTTGAAGTCATTGAAAATCAGCCACAATTTGTTATCAATTTCTTAATGAGCAAGTCTTTCCCATGCAAAAGACAAATTGAAGGCAGACACCCATTTTGACTCTTCAACAATGAACTATGTGGCATGTTTTTTGGCCAAAATTTTATGACGGTTTGTAGCAAAAAAATTTCTATAAATATATATTATCATAAAGAGAATTTTTTTATGTCCCATGAGAGGAAAAAAGTAGCGTGTAAAAGAGAGAAAAAAAAAAATAGAGAGATTGGAGAGAGTTCTTGAAAGGTTTTTTAGAGAGTTTGTAATATTCTATTATAAATTCTATTCAAGATAGAAATAGAATTAGTTTTTCCTCTTATTTTATCTTCTCCTTTCGTGATCGGAGAATCACAACAATGCATCCAAGCGCATAGAGTTCGTACTTATTTTCCCATTCATGAACATCTATCGTTCACTCCCTATAAGGAAAGTATATTGAGATAATTTTCGAAAGACAGGTTTGGAACGGGACATGATTATTGTCATTTATGTCCCTATATAATTGAATCTTTATTTTAAAATATAATTTAAATGAATAACATAAAAATAATTCAAATAAAATAAAATGATTCATTCATTCAGTGGAATTAGGAGACCTGTTCCAATTCCAGATTACTAGTTTCCATATTTCAATTGTCCAGTTCAGACCGTCTATGGGCCTGATTTTATCCGCTGGAATCCAACAATAAAACACGGAGACAAACAACTTCTTTACCTTAAATCCTAGATTTCATAATAATCAATTTACATTTAGCAAATCTATCATTAAATTAGATCAACCGGATTCCAATTATTACGTAATTGTCGACAGATCATTCTTTCCCGATCCAAATCACTTGTTTTTTTTTATCCTTAATATTATTTGATTTACGCTCCACCGCTCCTTAAGCTCTCCGAACCACTTGTGCAATATATGTTCACGAATAATTTTTAAATTTTCACCCGTTTTGCGGAAATCAAAGAATTTTTAGGTTGAATCTTTTGTTTAATGGTTGGCATTCTATTTTACGGGTCAATTGGAGCTTAATGTGTTTTCCAAAGGTAAGATTTGTGGAGTTTTCTCTACTACGATTCGCAGTTTTTGTGAATTTTCGTAAAGTGTGAATTTTGTTTGTGGGGTTTGAATGCTTGATTCAAATATATCACTGTTACTCCATTAGGCAGAAAGTTGAAATCTAGATATTTTTTGGACGTCTGATGAGATGGTCTAGGTTTCAAAATCTTGATTGCATCAGTGTTCCTTTTTTTTCCCTCTCGAATTGTATTTTTGTGATTCGATCACTAACTGATCATTTTAATTCTAAGTTAGCGTTTAATTGTCATAAATGCAGTTTAAATCAATGAGATTTGATTTTTTTTTCTTTTTTTGGCTAAAGATTAATTTGCTCTCTTTTCTTGAGTTAAGCTCCTGTGAAGAAATTTTGGAAGACGAAAATGTATAATATTGCCGATCCGTGTTAAATTCATCCATAGATGTTTCAGTTTTGTCTCCACTTACCAGTAATGTTAGATTGAGGGCATTTTCCGCAAACTGATAGACTGTTGTTCAAATTGCAATCAAAAGTTTGACTTTAGTTAGTCTGAAAGTTGCTGTTTGATAGATGTTTCTTGAAGTTTTCATTGGTCTCATGTCTTGTATGTTGATTTTGTAGGAGCTGTTTAATTTAGAAAGAAAGCCATGGCTTCAGTTTCTGTTAAAGAACAGCTGAGAACGGCCTATCCAAAGACCCTTACATCGATTGTAGCTTCAGTGGGAGGCCTTGCATTATTCTTAATTCTTGCTTCAACCATATTGGTCTCCCAACCCATTGGGTCCACAGTTCGTGGGTATTTCTACGGTGTTGATCGCTCCAGAAAGATTGACTCACTATTAACCCTTAAGGAACAGTTTTCTTCAGTATCTACCCTTAATGAATCGGTTTCTGGATTTAATTCTCAGTATGATGGTGGTGGATCTATAAGAGTAGGTGGGGCTGATGGCCAAGATACTCCGGTTGACAAAAAACAGAACCCCGATTCTCAAGATAAGAGTGAATTGTCAGGTTCGAGGCAAAAGGAATCCAAGAATCTGAAGGATGAGTCACTGCATTCTAATATAAAGCAGCAAGAGACTGGCAATAAAACTTCGGCTTTGCCCAAAGTTACAGAGCATGATGAAAATGCCCCATCCAATAATACACGTGAAGAATTGAAGGATGCTGTGATATCTCCTACTGCCACCAACAGGAATCAGTCTGATGTAGTTGATTCAGGTACTAGTTCATTTTCACCATGCAATTTTGCCCTGTACTTCCATTATTTTATAAATACCAACTACCAAGACTTCTCTGATGGTTTTTTACATCTTCTTTAACTTTTATGTAACTCTTGCATTTTACATTTTGTGGTGTATATAAAATTGGATGTAAACTCCAGGGCTTCGTCGAATTAGTCGAGATGTGCGTAAGTTGGTCCGGACACCCATAGTCATAGAAAAAAAAAATGTATATAAAATTGGAGTTTAATTTTCTACTTAGCCTCCATTTGGCCAACTTTGTAAATGAATTTATAAATGATCAAATTTCATTTTCAACCACACATTCCAATTGTCAAATCAATTTATATACATTTTGTAATGTAAATACAACTGGAGTTTAATTTTCTACTTAGCCTCCGTTTGGCAAACTTTGTAAATCAATTCATAATGGTCAAAATCAATTTATAAATGGTCAAACTTCATTTTCAACCACACATTCCAATATTCAAATCAATTTATATACATTTTGTAATGTATATACAACTGGAGTTTAATTTTCTACTTAGCTTGCATTTGGCAAATGTCGTAAATCAAATTATAAAGGTCAAATCAATTTATAAATTGTCACACTTCTCAACCACACATTCCAATAGACTCACAAGTAGTTTCCCCTTATCCACCACCCAATCCTGTCTATTATAACACCGTTTATATATTCTTTCCAAACGAAGACGTAATAGCTCCAGTTGGAGTCTTTCTGTCTCCTTGTCTATGTTGTTTATTTTGTTGGAGAAAATTAATTTGTTTTTGTGGTTTATTAAGTTAAGTTTCACATCTTTATGTGGACACGGGCTGATAAGCTTTCCACATTACCTCTAGACATATTCAGTTTATTGATATATCTAATGAATTCCCTCTTGTAGGACAAATTACATACGGTTATATTTTTATGAGAATTGAGAATGCTCATGAAAGCATGTTAACTAATAAGGAAGGATAGTCTAAACACCACACTTTCATTTTTTTGTGTTTCTAATCAGGCATTTGTACTTTTCTTTTATGAAAGGACATTAATCAATTGTTTGTGCCTAAATTGCTTGTCACCTTGGGAAAATACTTTGCAATAACTTTTTCAATCACGATGTAGAAATCTCATGTAAATCAAGCTGGGTATGGTTGACATCAGTGATTATATAGTTTTGAGCTTGCACAGATGGAAAAAATATATATTTACGCACACTGGCTGGGGTATGAATGGCCTGTTGAACTCTGGAAACTTTCACTGTATAATATGCTCTGAGCTGAAAACTTGCGCAGTCATCCTATTTGGCTTGCTTTTCGAGTCTTAAGAAAATAAAATCAAAATTTATTGGGTATAAATTCACGTGTGAGACATATAAACTGAACTAGGCTATATCTTGATTGTGTTACAGGATGCGATCTTTACCATGGAAAGTGGATTTATGAATCAACTGGACCATTGTACACAAATAATTCCTGCCCTATCATCACTCAGATGCAAAATTGCCAGGGAAATGGAAGACCTGACAAAGATTACGAGAATTGGAGATGGAAACCTTCTCAGTGTGACCTCCCTAGGTTTGAAGCAAAGAAGTTCCTGGAGTTAATGAGAGGAAAGACATTAGCTTTCATTGGCGATTCAGTAGCTCGAAATCAGATGGAAGCACTGCTGTGCATCCTTTGGCAGGTTATTGGAAAGATCCCATTTATATTTATTTATTTAGTCATCTGACAACGTTCATATTTTAGTTCTCTGAACCATCTGGATCAGTTACATTGGTGATTTGTTCGTACTCTATATCTCTCTCATCTTTCTCTGTTTTTTTTTTTTTTTTTTTTTTTTTTTTCTCTCGCATGGTGTGATAATTTTGGAATTCATGTTTATGTTCTTATAGCAAATGAATGATTTTGGCAAAAACCTGTAAGTTGATTCCATCTCACTCCGAGTCAGTGTGTAGAAAATATTTTGTGGAGAAAGAACAATGCATCGAAAGGAAACCCTTTAGAGCCTAATACCCCACAATACATGCAAAATCTCTCTTATATATATTAAATGCCAATGAAATGAGCAACTGGATGGTGAATTCCATGTTGGACATAATGCCACGGGAAACAAACATAAACTGTATAATATAGGAGCAAAACAATGACTCCTAATCCATCATTAATCCACCAAGTCTGGCGTATTTTTGGTTCTGTGGTTTTTAAACCGTAATAACTGTTTTCAGTTTTTATTTTCTTTTTCTATATTTCCCCTATCATTTTTTCCAAAGGTTAGCCCTGCTTCCTTTTTTCTCTCTGGGTTCATAGAGGGGGCATTTTTTTCGTTTTAATATCTTTTAAGCCTCTGAATAAAACCTTAGTGACCCCTGACAAAAGTAGTTCTGGAAGCAAATACCTTCCGTTTGACTGTACGATTCTCTCCGTAGGTGTCTGTTTTGTCATGAAAGGTTGGTTTTTTAAACCCTCGAAGTTATTTTCGACAGAATTATCTGTTTGCTTTCCAAAGAAGTATAAATATTACATATGGACTCATCCGCGTAAAGCATGGTATATGATTTGCACTTTGCTCAAATGGATTGCTTATTGTTATTTTGTTGAAAATTAAAATGGCTCTCGAATTCATAATTCTGGGATTCTTTCAGGTTGAGGTTCCGAAAAATAGAGGAAATAAAAGAATGCAACGTTATTATTTCAGATCTACATCTACAATGATTGTTCGCATATGGTCGTCCTGGCTCATTCACCAAACATCTGAGCCATTTGATTTTGCTCCCGCTGGCGTGGTCAAGCTCCACCTTGATGCACCTGATGAAGTTTTCATGCAATACATTATGGATTTTGATGTGATAGTCCTCTCCTCTGGCCACTGGTTTGCAAAGCAGTCAGTTTATATATTGAACAATGAGATCGTGGGAGGACAATTGTGGTGGCCAGACAAGTCTAGAAAAAAGAAGATTGACAACATTGAAGCTTTTGGAATATCCATCGAAACAATTGTTACTGCATTAGTCACACATCGGAATTACACTGGTCTAACAATCGTTCGTAGCTTTTCACCTGATCATTATGAGGGTGGAGCCTGGAACACTGGAGGATCGTGCACTGGAAAGGTCAGGCCTGCCTTGGATAGTGAATTAGTTGAGAATGGTTTTACCAATATAATGCACGAGAAGCAAGTGACAGGGTTTAATCGTGCTATGAAGAAAAAGACAAACAAATCGAAAATGAAACTAATGGATATAACAGAAGCATTTTCACATCGCCATGATGGACATCCCGGTCCATATCGAAGCCCGGATCCAAATAAAATCACTAAAAGGGGCCCAGATGGTAGGCCCCCGCCCCAGGATTGCTTGCACTGGTGCATGCCAGGTCCAGTTGATACGTGGAATGAACTGGTGCTTGAAGTTGTAAGGAGAGAATTTGAGGACAGACAAAATATTGCTTCATGAGAGTCACTCATCTTGTTACTAAACTATCCTATGTTTCTTTAATTTATATAGTACTTTGCACTTAATTTTGGAACATGTGGATGGAATGAGGGTTAGTAGTTTTTACTCTCAAACATCTTATATAGAGATACTGGAACAGGTCTAGTTTGTGAATTACAAGGTTATTCTTTACCTCAGTTGTAACAACTCACAAGAATATAAGTTATTTGTTAATCGGTTGTTGATTTATCTAATTTCAAAGAAATAAGTCTTCTGTACTTCTTTGCCTATTCAACAATGACTTCATTCTTGATCATAACTCAGTCTCTCTTTTTTGCTTCCTTCCCCGAAAGGATTTCTATATTCACTTGCTTTGGATGTGATCGTAGATTTGATGCAAAAAGTTGAGCATAATGTTGCTTTTGCTGAAGAAGGTGAAGTTCCAGGTCTTGTCTTTGAACCAGCATCTGGTTGCTATTCTTATTCGTCAGGTTTTGTGAGCTTTCGTGTTTTTTTCCCCCTTCAACACCCAATGAAAATCTGCCAAATGAAATTTTGTAGATTTTTACGTAAAACTCCCGAGCTCCACTACATGTACAGAACATGGATGTACAGAAGAGATACAAAAAAGACACATGGTGGGGGTGGATGGTTGATTTTGGGAATATTATATTAAACATGAAGCCCGCGCTAAGTAAGACTTCTGGCACCATTCTGTGAAAAAAATTTCTGGACGCACAGAATTTTTCAAAACTCCCTTGTACACATAGAACAATGCCCAATACTGTGACATCATTGACGTTTCCTCTGTCCTTTTTCTATAACGTGGTAAATTCCAGGCATTCTTTTACGTAGCCAATTTTTAATTTTACTTACTACTGGTAAAAGTTCAATCAATTAGTATAATTTTCCCACTGGTACCCAACCAATTGCTCTCATATCAAGTTGGTCTCAAATCTTTTAACAACAGCAAGTTAAACTTCGTATATTTCTTTTAGTTACAAATTAGTTCCTAATAGCAGAAATTGTTCGAAATTCTTTTAGCCTTCATTTGACAAAATTTATAAATTATGTATAACATGTCAATTTTTATTTTCAACCATACATTGTAATGAATCTATAATTCACTTCTATCTATTTTATAAATTAAATCATTTATAAATTCTTCCGGAACGAAGGCTACCAAAATTCAAACATCAAATTTGGTAAAAGTAGATTTTATTTCTCTAACTTATATTGGTGCATCAAAATTTAAAATGCATTAGATAACAATTCAATGAAGATTATTTTAATGGTTTTTCTCATTGTGGATTCATTATGCAACTTTATTGATTGTATTGGACAATATTGCTCACTTTATAAAGTTGAAGGCCAATCATGCTACTAAGCAATAAGTTGTGGACCAATTGAAAAGGTATTTTCTCTCCCTTCCCCATTTGAAATTTAAAAATTTCTTCGCAAACGTGATCAAAACCCTCGTACATCTCATTCTCAACGGTCGAATTTCTAGCCTTTTCTCTATTATCTCTCTCTCTCTAGCTCTAAAACGAAGAGTTCAAATCTTTCAATCTCTTTAACTTTTATCTCTCATAGAGCAAATTTTGAGATCTGGTTCTGAATTGTTATAACCCAGGTTTTTGTTTTCTTCGGTTAAATTTTCAGGTACGATCTGAGATCTAGGTTTTATTTCCTTTCTAGTTTTTTTCTTTCGTTAGTTTGGATTTAGAAAGTTATAGAGTTTGAAAAAAAATTGAAATATACTAGTTCATTTATTTAGAAAATGGGTTTACAACAAAATGGCTTAGTTTAAGTTGTGGTGCTCGGAGTTGCCATTTATAGTAAGGAGGTGAGTTTTTCAGATTTATTTTTCTGTTTCTTTCTAAATAATCTGTGCAGGCTTGTTTAAAATTAATTGGGTATTGGTTGAATTGAGCTGTGTCCAATTTATTTATTTATTATTATTATTATTTTTGGATTCATTTCAATTTTTCCCGTTTCATTTGTGAATTTGTCAAGGGTTAATTCCTTTCCCCATTCAGTGCCTGATACGACCTCAATTGATGCTGTAGTAATGAAACTCATAAGCGACAGAGTTTGGTAATAATGTAGACTGTGAAGCAAAGATAATGTAAAATATTAATTTTACTTCATTTGGGAACTTAGAAAATGAATTAGGAATCTCATGTTCTATAGTCAAAAAAATATTTCAATATTAGGCGAATTAGTAAGGCAGTAGGCTGAATTTATTGTTGTTTTTTCACCCTTGAAAGTTATTTTACTGAGTTACTGCCATTCTTGGTGAGTTATTGTGCCTTCTTTACTATGACTTGTCATGTTGGAAGTTAAAACTTTTAAGCATTATTAATAGCTTATTGATAATCGGTATTGAAGTTGATCAGTTTCTAATGTGATTGGGTGTTAGTATGTGTATTGTGCTTGTATTCTCATAGAGGATTTCATGGGCAGGTTAAATTTGCTTCCAAATGTCTAATAGTCAAAGTGATCCGCTATTGCAAATGGAAACAACATGCGGATCTCTTCTATATGAATTACAGGTTCTTTTGTTTTCAAGTACAAATTTTTATCTAACTATTTGTTTTTAGTTCTCATTCCCTGTTTGATGAAGCATGCTTTTGAAGTTGGGATGTTTGAGTCCCTTCTTCAAAAGTCAATCTTCCAGTCACTTGTATTGCTTTAGTATCATTATCTATTTATTCTTATGGTTTGTTGCAAAAAATAATAGATAATATGGGATGAGGTAGGAGAGTCAGATGCTGAAAAGGATAGAATGTTGCTTGAGCTTGAACGGGAATGTTTGGAGGTGTACAGAAGAAAAGTAGATCAGGCAAACAAGTGTAGAGCTAAGATTAGGCAGGCAATTGCTGACTCTGAGGCTGAACTTGCTGCCATCTGCTCTGCAATGGGAGAGCGACCAGTACATATTAGGCAGGTCAGGATATAAAACGTTTTATGATTAGAATCATTAAATTTCAGTTAATAAAATGCTTTAATCGTTTTTGAAATATTGACATTGTTCTCTTATCGAATACCCAATGAAAAATTATTTGAATTCAAATACAACTATAATCAGCCTCAAATTAGAGATTTAATTTTAAATCTGTTTGTAATTCTGAAATAATGTGTTGGCATCAATATTGGTTAAATGGTTACTATTAAGTGAGTGATTAGGAGGAAACATGAATTAACTGTAATCTTAAGATTACCCGATATGAAATATACTAATAGCCGGGAAAGAAGTAAGATACAATTTGAGGTGGGATTTATGATGATATTTACTATGTTTCTTTGGCAGTCTGATCAAAACCCTGGAAGCTTGAAGGAAGAACTTAAATCCATTCTTCCACAGATAGAGGAAATGCGGAAGAGAAAATGCGATAGAAAGAATCAATTTGTAGAGGTTTTAGAGCAGATACAGAAGCTTAAGAGTGAACTTTCTAATTCATGTGAGTGTATTTCTACCACTTTGGTAGTGGATGAAGCTGATTTGTCTCTAAGAAAGCTTGAAGAATTACAAAGAGAGCTGCAGACACTTCAAAATGAAAAGGTTATTCTTTGCATTATAGCAGTATCATCTGTTATTAACTTGCTTTCAGTGATTATCCATGACTAACTTGCTTCTATATTCCCTTGGTTTCAGAGTGAACGTCTGGAGCAGGTTCTTGATCACCTCAATGCTTTGAACTCATTGTGCTTGGTTCTTGGTATGGATTTCAAACAAACTGTCAGTGAGGTTCATCCTAGTTTAGGGGACCCTGAAGGTTCAAAAAATATTAGTCATGATACCATAGAGCAGTTAGCAGCTGCTATTCAAAGATTGAGAGAGATTAAGACACAAAGGATGCAACAGGTATATTAAATTCTAATATTCTTCTTTCACTTTTAAGTTGATTATTTTCAGCGTGGCAAGTTGTTATTTTCTTCCTTGGCAGCTGCAAGATCTCGCCATGTCTTTGTTGCAACTGTGGAACTTGATGGATACACCTCTTGAAGAGCAACAGGTTTTTCAGAAGGTCACTTGCAATGTAGCAGCTTCAGAAAACGAGATAATGGAGCCCTACATGCTGTCTGCTGACATTATTAATTGTGTAAGTTGCCAAGAATATATGTTTGAGCATGTTTGGCTAAGCATAGCTACAAGTGAAAGTTACTTTTAAGTAACCTTTTGTTACTTTTTTCTTTTTCATTCTTAAGTAGAATACTTCTTCGGTTACCTTACCGTGAAAGTAACTATGTAGCTTATTTCCAGTTCTGAATGAATAAAAATTTGTTTATTTTAAACTTGCTTATTTTTGCATAAGTAAACTTTTTAAGCTTAGCCTAACATGCTAGATCTTTCGCTTTGGTGTGGTAGCTTTATTTTGATGACTTAGAAATATATTGGGATTTAAATTAATGTAAATCATTTGCCAATCAGGTTGAGATAGAGGTTTCTCGGTTGGAAGAGTTGAAAACAAGCAAAATGAAGGAGCTTGTTCTGAAAAAGAAGTCGGAGCTAGAAGATATTTGTAGGAAAACACACCTGATTCCAGAAACTGATAGTTCATTAGATATTGCTATTGAAGCTATTGAATCTGGTACTAATTTATATGTTGGAAAAGACAAATGATATTTTTGCTTCGAGTTTGATTCTATTTTCCCTCGAATAACAGGAGCTGTTGATGCAACTTATGTGCTTGAACAAATTGAGCTTCAAATAGCTAAAGTTAAGGAAGAAGCATTTAGCAGGAAAGATATCCTCGACAAAGTTGAGAAGTGGATGGTTGCATGCGAGGAGGAGAGCTGGCTAGAGGAGTATAATAGGGTCAGGCTTTTGAACAAAGTTTGCTATTTATATAACAAATTGCAAGCGTCCAGTTGCTCAGAAGTCAATCTAATCTTTATACAGGATGAAAATCGATACAATGCTGGGAGAGGTGCTCATCTTACTTTGAAACGTGCAGAGAAAGCTCGTGCCTTGGTCAATAAACTTCCAGGTATTTTATATTACATTTTGTTAGAAACGCATCTGTTGGTAAAAGTCTTTATTGGTGTAAAGACACATGACGTGTACAAGATAGAATTCGTTACTAGTTTCATTTCTACATCTTCTATTCAGCACTTGTAGATGCATTGGCTTCTAAAACGTCATCTTGGGAGAATGAGAGAGGGATCGAATTCACTTATGATGGCGTAAGTGTTTCCTTATGTACTCTGCATATTTACTTTCTGTCTGGCTCTTGTTATTTACTTAGCTAGATTTTACCTTTTTCCTTTTCATTTACTGTGTACAGGTTCACCTGCTTTCTATGCTTGATGAGTATAACATTTTACGGCAAGAAAAAGAGCAAGAGCGCAAAAGGCAGAGGGTATAGGCCTTCTTGATATTTCTATAGTTGAATTTAACAGTTAATGATCTGTACTCTCACTCTCTCACTCAGGACCAGAAGAAACTTCAGGGGCAGTTACTAGCGGAACAGGAGGCTCTTTATGGTTCAAAACCAAGCCCTATGAAGAACCAGAGTGTGAATAAAGGATCTAGATTGTCATGCGGTGGCACAAGCAATAGAAGACTTTCTCTTGGTGGTGCAAATCTACAGACTCCTAAGCCTGATATACTTCACTCCACCAAAGCTACTCCTAATACACGTCATGCTAAGAAATATGACCGATTGAGTCATGACCCCACCAGGGATGATGGATTTCAAGCCTTGTCATCTGGTAATTTTTAGAATTAATACAAGGTTCTGAATCCTTCTCTTTTTTCTTATTTCTCATCTCATTCTAATTTCTCTGGCGTAGGAAGGAGGGGCCTGGACATAGCTGGTCTTCCTCTTAAACCACATTCTTTCAATCCACCAAATGCTCATGAAATAGAGTCGCCAATGATGCGGAAGCCTTTCTCTCCCATTTCTTCCACGGACTCTTCAAAATCCAATGCAACAAATATTTTGGAAGATCTGAATAGAAAACATAATGAGATGTTGCAGAAGACTCTGACAAGCAACAATACACCATTCGTAACTCCTTCCAAGACTATTTCTACTCCGGATGAAGAGAACAGAACCCCCAAAACAATGGCAATTCTGGTACCTTCTACGCCCTCTACTGTTTCAGTTCCAATGCTGACAGCTATCACACCAGCTTCTTGTATACCCGAGTCAATGAAAGACGAAGAGATTGAATACTCGTTCGAGGAGAGGAGAGCTGGATTTGTGCTTCACAAAGCACATAGAATCACTGACTCAAACTTGACATCATTTTAAGATCTCAAGTTTGTTACTACTGCATTCCTCATTATAACTTGGATCCTGTGATTACAAGTCAATTCTATTGGCTCTTCCCAGTCTACAAACAATTGAAGGTGGACAAAGTTGTTTAGTGTGTTTCTCCTACCTCTTCCCTAATGAAAAATGGTTTGTTCAAGCTGTGTTGTTAACCCCCTAGTACTTAAATGGAGAAATCTGAAGTGGTTTCTGGTGGCTATCAATTGGGGTCGATATGCCCAACCTCTAGGCTCTCCTAGGTTTAGTCTCTCATCGTTAGTATCAACCAGCACAATGGCTTTGAATGGTTTGTGTTCAGTAATGTTTAAAAAGAAAGTTCTGTTAGTAATAAAAGTAACATTGAAAATTATGTTGTCAAAATAACTGATTTAAAAACAAATAAAAATGTTTTATCAAAATGAGTAACTTAAGTATGTGTAAACTTACTTTTGAGTTTTGAGCACGACTAGGAGTGATATAAGTAACTTGTCTTTGTAAATAGTTAAAAATCCTACAACACTTTGCTCCCGTTTGCTAGAAATTAAAATCAAAATTTTAATCCAAAGTAAAGTAAAAAATTAATTTTAATTACATTTCTTATGAGACGAATAATTTTTCAACCACACATTCTGAACTTAATCCCCAAGTAAATACTTCTGAAACTGAAGGGCGTTGCTTTCCGAAAAATCAACTTCAGTTACACCTAAAAAGGCAGAAGAGGTCAGAGAGGTTGGAGAAATTTTGCAGATTTGGGTCGTGCTGCAAGTTTTACAAACCCCTGCCAGAGACACACATTGTGGGCCTCGACGCAATTTTTTATTTTTTTCATGTGGGGTGGCCCCTACAATGAGGGGTCGGTAAGACCCCTGTATGGGAATGCCCTGTACATAGGGCATTTCCCAATTTTGCATGGCTCCAACGTTAACTTTACAGCGTTAAATAGTTAAAACTTTCATTTTTAAATAATGAAACGGAATAGTTTGGCCTCCATTCTTGCCAAATTTTAATGGTTGGAATAATATTTTTTTTAAAAATGTGTAGTTGAAAAAGAATGAAAAGTTTTTGATTTGCGTATAATATTATTTTATGGAAGATTGTGTTGTTTAAAATAAAAGAGAAAAAAAAATGAAAATGGAGGCCAAACGGGAAAATTTTTGCTTTTGCTTTTTTTACATTTTTATCCATTTTTTATTCATATGCATTTAGCTTCCCATATTTTAAGCCCCCGTTTAGCCCTCATTTTGTAAAAATGAAAATGAGTGGAATAATTTTTTTTTTTTCTTGAAAAATGAGTAGTTGAAAAATAAGGAAAAGTTTTTAATTTACGTATAATATTATTTTATGAAAAATTGTGTAATTAAAAATAAGAGAAAGAAAAATAGAATTTAATGTAATGGAAATTAATAAGGACAAACAAGCGCTAAATCCCATTTCTTGAATTTCCAAGACGGACCAGAAACTATTTTCTAAACCGTTCAATTTTTTATTAATTCCAGTTTGTTTTTAATATCTCATTTTTCCTACCTCTATTTTTTTATTTTTTTATTTTTTTTCCTTGCAAAACCCTAATTTCATAACTACTGATTTTTTTATTTTTTTTCTGTAAAAAAGGTTCGTCCTAGAGCTCAGAATTTTTCTTTTTCTTCTATGCAACAGCATAGAGGTTAAACCATAAATTCAGGAAGTTACAGTAAATAATTCCAGCAGTAGGCCCCTGTTGTACTCTGATTGAATATACAAAGCTGATTCTGGGTTTTCAAGCTTTTTAGAGTTTCTGAAGTGGGGTTATATGTAAGATTTTCTGAGTTCTTGATAAAGGTTCGATTTCCACGAAAATTTCAATTTGAAAGGTGTTTTGTGTAGTTGCTCTGAGCATTTAGCTTAGAAAAGGTTAAAATCTTTTCATTATTCTGGAGATTAGGACTGAAGTTTACAGGTTTTTTGAAGGTTAAAGATTTTTCGGGTCTTTGTTTAGTTAGCATTTGCATGGAGGAAAAAGAAGGTTCAAATGTTACTGGGGTAACAGTAAAGAGAGATGAAGCCCCACAGGGCTTCAGGATTGAGCCAAGGGTTGAAAATCATAGACTAGATGCTGGATCAGCTGCTGGGCCAACACCAGAAACACAGGCAATCGTGCCTGTGCCTGCACCGGCGCTCGCCACTGAGGTCAAGAAGAAGAGGGGGAGACCGAGGAAGTATGCACCAGATGGTTCGGCTTTGGCATTGTCACCTATGCCAATATCTGCTTCAATTCCACTTACAGGAGATTTTTTGGCTTGGAAACACAGAACTGGTCGCCCTGTTGACTCCTACAAGAAGAAGCATAAGTCAGACTTCGAAAGACCTGGTAATTATATTATTTTTTTTCTTTAATTGATTTGAACCTTGAATTTTGGATAGTGGTTTCTACTTTTCCTGTGATTTACTGTTGCATAGAGATCTGAAATATATGATACTGAAAATAAATTGATTTATTGATAAGATATTGCTATTTATGGTTGGTTGAAGTGTTTAAAAACTAAATCTACCATCTGTCTTGTTTGAAGAGTAAATTTAAATAAATATATTTTCTCTCTAAAAACTTAATTTTAGACGAGTTGGCTCAACTTAAAATCAGAGTTGGCCGAGACTTTGAATTCTATTCTTGCGCCACCATCCATTAAAGTGTCAGCGTGTCATACATTTGATAAGAAAATTTATTTAGCCTGCACGTGATGACTGAGGAGGTGCGTTGAAGGCTAGATTTTCACTCTCTAAGAGCTTAAGCTTTTAGTTAAGGTGATTTAGCCCTGGTAAATTAAAATCAGATTTTTGGAAGATTTTGATAAAAATTGATGAAATGTATGGTTGAAAAGTTGCTGGTCCTATGAAATGTGCATTTAAAATTAATTGTTGATTTTGACTTGGATTTTAATAAAAATTTCCAGCAGTACGAAACTGGGCTTAACACTTTTTTTTTCTCTCATTTAGTACTCTTTTATGTTTGCTTGGTGTTGTAGGGTCAACCTTATTTATCTGTTTAACTATTCAACGCTGCATGTCATGCCTTGTTGACAAATGTCCCCTCGGATCTGCCTTTTGATTGTTATGATCTTTAAATGAATTTATGATAATGCTGCCAAAGATGATGATGAAATATTCCTTAAATCAAAACCTTACGGGCTTTGTGGGGTCAAAATAATCTGATGCTGTGAGCTATGCATGTAAAGATTCTTGATCACCACTCATTTTATTGGTGATGTCATTACTGAGCTGATTTGGTTTGACACGAAATCTGGGGTTTCCACAATAATTGAGTGAATAATGATAAGTGGCTGTGTGACATGTGGGTCTAATGTAAAGACAGCATGGATGAAATATGTGCCGACACTGAGAGATACCATAATTACTGGTGTTGATGAAGTCCAAACATAAAACTGATTTCAACGAGACTCATTGCCGAAATTTATGCATCCTATCAGTGTGTACAGGTACTTTCAAATGAGAAGCTGTTATCAAGGATTCAAGTGGCTTCAGAAGAATCTAGAAATCCTGTAGAACATGCTGTTCTATCAGAACAAGCCTCTGACCAAAGGAATGTTTTGGCATTAGTTTCCCCTTATTGTCTGGCTTCATAAGATCTATTTTAACTAATTTCTTTTACCAACAGCATCCGGAATTATCGAGCTCTCCAATATTTCCAATGGAGAATTACTGCTATTTCTAACATATTTATTTAAATGTACTTCTTTTTATTTGTGTATAACCAATATCATTATAACACTACCGATACAATGCAATTATATGTTTGATGTGGAACACTGATTCATCACTTAAATTTCATCTTGTTGTGCATTTGATGAAATTTTAAATTTACCTAAGCAACTGATTTGATATTATCTGTGTGCTGTAGCGGAAAAGGCGGAATACTCTGGTGGTGCAAGTTTTATGCCCCATGTGATCACTGTTAATGCTGGCGAGGTACTTCTAGAATCTAGTTAATACTAAAGTTTGTACATTTAGTTTTATTTATGCAAATCACTTGATGTCAAAAACCTTCTGTTAGTTCATATGCTGATGGTTCAAATATTAATAATTGATGGGAGAAATGCATTACTAATCTATAAATTATTACCCTAAAAGCATGTTAGTCTATCACTTTTTATTATAATTGTCTATATATTCCCCCGTGATGAAAGCTGTCCAAATCCTTGATAAATTATACATGATCCTCATGGAAAAAAGCTTCACTTAGACACCAGTTCATGTTGGGAAGCATAACCAGTTTCATAAAGTTGGACATGCAAGGTCACGTAATGATTAAAATAGAGATTTGGGTTGCTTCCATTTATGGGGAACAATTGTACAACAAAAATAGAAGGTTGGGGATCACTTGCTACTAAGGCAAAGTACATTGTGAACAACTGTTGTATTTTACCAAAAAGAAACGTGTTTTTTTGTGGTTTTTGACATCGCTCTGTTGAAGACAGAATGAGATCAAAATTTTATACTGGTTAGAAGAAAATTTTCAGAAGTTTCCATGAATTCCCATAAAATAATTACCTTCAGTTCATGGACCAACTTATAGTATCTGCAATTTGTGGATGTTCAAAATGCAAAGAATGTGTTCACATTTTTCTTGAACCTATAAGGGTTTCAGCTTATAGTTTTTATGGTATAATATAATGATTATTAACGTTCATCGTATCACTAAGCGTAGGAAAAAAAATAAAGACTTAATTATGTAAGATTAATATTTTCCAGAAGTGTCATCATACTTGGGGCTAATTTTTGGTGTGCAAATTGTAACTGCTGTGTGAATCATTGATGGAAGTCTGTACCCTAATGCGTTTGCCCCAGAATGCTTAAATAACAAAATAAATATACATAGACGCCTTTATTGAAGAACTACATGACATGTTATGAATTGTCTTTTGGATTTCCTTTGCAATACTTTAAAAAGGCATGACACAAATTCATATTAGCTAACCAATAAGTAGCTCTTAGTTTTGGCCCTCTTTCTTTTTAGATTTCTTTAGCACCACCAAACAATCATGCATGACTTCATTCCTTTGAAATTATTTTCATGTAAAATGACATCCACAACTTTACCATCTGTACGAGGGTTGTTGCAAAAGGTTTGTGTAGAAATCATTTCATAACCTGCCAACTATCTATTCTTTGCTTAAAATTTTTATTCTTCAAGAATGGAAGTATACTGCGTGTGCATGTTGGATGGGGTGGGTGGGGATGCTAAAGTGCTACATTGCATCCTGGTAATTGTGTCCATCTAGTACATATTTGGTAGGCAGTACTGGATGGGACCAAATGTTTCTCGAAACTGTGGATGGGTTAAGACTTTAGAGCATGATGCTGCTATTTTCTAGTTACGCAAAAGGATTGGCACATATTGAATTTTGCTGTAAAGACATCTGAAATCTTACTGTTGATTTGACTGAAACTTCAATTTTTACTTCTAATATTGCTGTTAGCTGATTTTTATTTGATTAAATGTTAATTCTTTGTTCTATTTGTTTCAGGATGTTACAATGAAAATTATATCTTTCCCTCAGCAAGGGTCAAGATGTATTTGTGTTCTAGCAGCAAATGGTCCCATCTCAAATGTTACACTTCAGCAACCCAATTTTTCTGGCTGTACTTTGACCTATGAGGTCCGAATCCTTATGTCAACGTTGATGTTAATACATCTCTATTTTTGGCTAAACTTAAAAAGGTTTGTTTGTAAGTAAATAAGTTTCAATAAGTAACTATTTTGTATTGATCAAAAATTGGAGTACGTTACTTTAAAAAAGGTCTGGTTTTTTTCTTAGTAAGAAAACAATAACTTATTTCTTAAGTAACTGTTATTTATCTTTAAGCTTAGCTGAACACGCCTTCTCCACATGGGGTTTTAGCTTCATGGAGGTGGAATACATGTTCCTCACACAAGAAGTTTTGCATAGTTCGCGTCTGATAGAATTTTCAGAGGCTTGGAATTGTGATGTTTAGATATACTTTTCCTGAATTTTCTTTTTCTTTCTCTCTCCATGGAAAATTTATTAAACTCAGTAAGTTACAGAAGCCGTCAAATTCGTCGTTTCTTAAAATTTTTAACAAGAATTATCTTTAGTGAACAATAATTCTGTTTCTGCATTATAATTATGCACTTTCTGCAGGGCCGCTTTGAAATACTTTCTCTGATGGGGTCATTTATGCCAAGTGATAACAGATTGACAAAAAGCAGATCTGGTGGGATGAGTGTTTCTCTGGCAGGACCAGATGGTCGTGTTTTGGGGGGAGGCCTTGGCGGAATGCTACTAGCAGCTGGCCCTGTTCAGGTTAGAAAGTGTCATCAGAATTAACGAAAATGAGATTCAAAAATAATTACTTTGTTATCCAAATAATTGACTATCTATTTGTCTTAATAACCTAGGTAATCTGAAAGGAAACAATGGTGTGTCAAAATTTATACATCAAACAACATTAATCTAAGGAAAAAAACACTTTTGTGACTCAAAGTTGAATGTCTCCAAACTTTATCTCAAAAGGAAACAATGGTGTGTCAAAATTTATACATCAAACAACATCTAATCCAAGGGAAAAACACTTTTGTGACTCAAAGTTGAATGTCTCCAAACTTTATCTCAAAAGGAAACAATGGTGTGTCAAAATTTATACATCAAACAACATTAATCTAAGGAAAAAAACACTTTTGTGACTCAAAGTTGAATGTCTCCAAACTTTATCTCAAAAGGAAACAATGGTGTGTCAAAATTTATACATCAAACAACATCTAATCCAAGGGAAAAAACACTTTTGTGACTCAAAGTTGAATGTGTCCAAACTTTATTTTCTATGCACATTCTGACTAATAAGTGGCATGTCTTGCAACCTTTCAATTTACTCACACCTCTGAGTGGCTGAACCTTTGGATAAATTACCAGTCATAGTATATACTTTTTTTTTAAGTATTTCTTACATTGTCCTATATATTCTGACACTTCTTCCACAAATTTTCTAGTTGACTCTTTGAACTTATATGATTTTTTATAATCTGTACTGTGCAACTCCATATTGTACTTTTTTATTTTGCCCCCGTTTGGCCCCCATTTTGTGGGAAAATTAATGGGTGGAATAGTATTTTTTTGAAAAATGAGTGGTTGAAAAAGAAGGAAAAATTTTCGATTTACGTGTAATATTATTTTATGAAAGATTGTGTGGTTGAAAATAAGAGAGAAAAATGAAATGTAATAGAATAAAAATTAATGGAGGCCAAACGGAGGCTTTATATAGATATTTAATTGAACCTTTTAACGTTCCTGTGTCATGTATCATAATGATGTATAAGTTGTTATAACTTTGATTTTCATGAATATATACCTGTGCAAAAAGTTATAAACCCAGTATGATACACAAAATACATGAAGTTTGGCAATACTTTTCTGAATTTTTCCAGTGCAACAGGTTGTCATTGCTAGCTTTCTTCCCAGCCACCATCAGGAGTCGAAGCCCAAAAAGCAGAAGTATGAGCGGACAATATCTTTTACCCCGAGTCCTGCAAATCCTTTTTCTGAAGAAAGATGTGAAGGAGCCTCCGGTGGACAGAAGCCAAATTTGAACTCATCTGCTTCCTTCCGTGGAGATAACTTAACTTCTGCAAACTCCATCCAAGGTTCGAAAATCGCTGCCCTTGAAAGTAATGTCTCATTGTCGGCAGAAGATTCTAGAGAGCAACGCCATGAAATTACTAGCTGATTTAGTTGCTCATATTCATCCTGTTTGTATCTTAGCTGTTTTTAGGAGGTGTGAAACTTTTAGGCCTACTTCTTTCTGACCCCGGTTAGAAGTTGACATCTGCACATTATCGTTGAAAACTAAAGTATGATTTTTCAGTTCGACTGAAGTTTTTTCTTTCGAAAGATAGTAGGTTTTGTCTTTACTAGTATGAGCGTCATGTAGTTTGCATCTTTTTTTGCTCTGATGTTCTGTAACTTGATGTAGAATTTCGGATATTTGAACTAGATATATCATTCTTAGTTGTAGTAGAGAAGACTTAAATTTTTTCAAAAATAATCTGTTTTCTTATGAGTTGGCTGTTTGATGCTGCTTATAGTTCTCCCGAAATTCGACTATGCACAGAACGTGTATGAAAATGTAAATACATGGAATTCACAAATAATCTTTTATTTCCTGTCAAGTTACGCGTGAATATCATGAAATAGGTATTGAAAAGCTGTCGATTGACACAAAGCTGAAAATTTGGCTGCTCAAGTGAGAAGATTTAAGCTTTATATTCAATAAAATTCCATTTTAATTGTCAATTTAGTGTTCTTGGAATCTTGCTTACGATAAGATGATTAAAGGTTGATTGAAATATGAATCTTTGACCTGTTGATGTGTAAATTTGTCTTTTTCTTGTGATATATTCTGGCGACAATACAACAATTGAAGAGGTGAGAATCAATAGCTACCTACCGTTGAGTTGATGCGTTTGTAATACATTGAATACTGACTTTTTGAGTCACTTTAACTACCGCTCGATTAGATTAAAGGCCGAGCAAAAAATAATCTATAATTGAGTTTTTATACAACTAAGCAAATTGATGGTTATGGGATTGTAACCAATTTTTCGTTTTTAATTTTGTTTATTCTTGTCTTATATTGTATACGAAACACTTCTCGCATGAGATCATCGGTTGTTGGAAGACTACTATTAATCAAGAGTGGAAGGCTTCAAGAATTATTAATATTTAATATATGGAGGATTAAACTAATGCATATAACATGTCAGCACACATTAAACTAAGTTCTTTTTCTTTTCCGATCGTCCCTAACAGATAAAAGGCTCAATCCATTTCCGTTCTGCTACCTGACAGCAATATGGTTTGAACTGCTTGAGTTCCAGTTTATTCATTCACACTTCGTTTTCCAGTACTCCCCAAAAACATGTTGAATTCCGCATTCGATTTGATCAGACTTGCTGCTTCGAATTCTCATGCAGTTTTTTGTTTATGCAATCTGATCATAGTCATTCTACTTGTCGGTTGCTCGAAATCCAGGTCAGAATTTAACGAAGATAAGCATTTTTCTCACAAGAACGTTGTTAGAAATAATAGAGGTTCCATGGAAAGAACAAATGCTTCATTTTACTTGAAGACGGTAATCACATTGAGTGATGAATATTCGTCTGTGAGTGTATCAATGGTCGACGATGATGAAGGAAGCCGAGATGATGAAGAAGAAGAAGATGATGACGAGTTCAGAAGAAGAGCTGAAGAATTCATTGAGAAAATTAACAAGGGGTGGATGGATGAGAAGTTGAAAGCATATTCTCTAGGCCAAAATGGACTTCACATTATGATCAAACACGATTAGGAAAAGTTTAGTTTGCACCACCGACAAGATGGGCAAGCAAAATATTGAATGTTCGATTCGATCTTTAATATTTATCAAGTCCTCCTTATCAAACATGTTAATAATGCATACTATTATGATTTTCCAGTTTCTAGCATTTTCTAAGCATTTGGTGAATCAATGCTTGTTACTAAACTTACCATTCTGCCATTTCTGTATTGCGACGTCTTAGAACATAACTGTAATCTGCTGTTATCCATGCAGCGACATTTTTTGAAACAGCAGAATTAAGAGTTTTTCTTCTTACACCGGCCACCTGTCAACTTCCAGATTACAAATGCATATGTTTCGTAAGATAGACTACACAGATAATGAACAAAATTGAGATGAAATTAAATTGGGAGATTTTTCTATTTGGCCTGTCACTAGTCCTTTTCATGGAAAAGTCTATATTGTCGTTAATGAAATGATCCTTTCTATATTACAACATATATCATAATCTTTTAATCATTTGATCTTATATTTTCTCTGTTTTGAATATTTGAATATAATTTCATTCCATGATATAATAAATTGGGATAATCTGTAATATATTGTTCACATTTATTATTTAATATATTATATTTTTCAGAAGATGCATCCATATTTTCTAATTGAGAATACATATTTTTTGTTACTTCTAACAATCTTTCTGATAAATTATCCAAATTTTTAATTGTATATCCTGGCATTTATAATCATCAAATCATGCAATTAATCCCTTTGATTCTCTAAGATCTAAAAAGACTCATTCCAATTTTAGCAAGAATTTAATAGTTTTACCTTAGGTTTGATCTGGTTCTTTATTCTTAGAAACGAGTGGCCTTTGAGCTCTGAATATACAAACTGCTTCCCTCAACGGCCTCATGCCTTCATGAAATTTTTACTATTTCAGCTTCTTACCCTCACTGTATCAATTCTGAAGAATAAAATTCTAGACTTCTGTTAAAGAAAAATTCTCTTTTTACTAAAATAAGAGAGAAATTTTCTATTAGATCTTTCAAGAATTTATAGGAATAAACATTTAGAAACTCATATTGATATCAAAATATTGAAATTTTATTTTTATCAGAATTTTTACAAAATTTCTATTTGGTATGCAAGGATTTCCAGAAAAATTGGTTTTTCAAACTAAAGATGGCTTAGGAGTGGATATTGGTTACAATTCAAGATTTCAAGATAATTTTTATATATTACAATGCCTCTATTTATACAAGTCTATGAGATCCTATTACATCATTAAATACACCAGCAAAGAAACACTTGCTTCTCTATTATTTTTCTCCTTGGGCCTACATCTTCACATTTTCTTCAACTTTTTATCCGAAGAGTATCTTTCTTTGTTGTCATTTATCTTTTATGTCTTTACATGTAGCTAGTATTATTGTCCTCCATGTAGCTTAGTCAAATGTGCTCTATTATTATCTTCTCTTTTCACATGCAGTTGGGGCACTCTCTTAACTGACAAGATTCTTTTATAGTGGTAGGACATCCTGAAAATTGATGTATTTCGAATCTTGTATATAATCCTTCCCTATTTCTGATTTTTCATGTCCTTGATTTGATACCAGCATCCAGTTTTCATATTGGCACAGGCATGAGAATTTTTTGTCAAACAAATTTTTGGCAATGTTGTATATGGCTTTAACTCCAAGTGTTCTATGTCTGATCCATGACTTGTGTCACTGTTGGAACTTTTCTATCATTTTCTACCACATCTATTTAGAAATTGGCTGCAACATATCCAATTAAGATTATGGATTCAACTGGATAGTAAACAACTCCATCGTATTCAGAACTTATTGAGTAAAATTTCAAATATATTCTTCGTCCCTTCGCAAATTTGGATACTTTTTTAATGAATATATCATCAAATTTTGAAATTTCAATCAAATCTTTTCCTGGATATATCAAATCCATAGTCTACCATAATTTTTATAAATAAAAGGTCTCCCCCTTCCATATATATTATTTTGGGATAAACATTATTTTCCGGAAAGATAAAATATGAATAACTCATTTTTATCTCATAAGCAATTCTCACTATTTCAGCATATTTTTATTCTTTTGGATCTAAATGGAGTTTATTTTTTTGGTCTATGATGCTGATTGTTTTGGAATCTCTTTTGTCTCCATGTATTATCACTTTTTTGGTTGATGATATTAAAATGGAATCTGCTTTTTTATCAGTTGATATATTATCACGTCTGGGTCCACTGTTACTTCTAGCTGTCCCTGTTTGGTATTGATTTCGAAAACTCATTTTTGAACTCTTTGGTGTATCTGTCTCAGACATTATATCTTTTAGTTGTGCTACAATTGCATCAACTTGATTTTTGAGTTCTATGGACTCTTTATGATTCTCAGCAGTGATATTCAATAATATTTTTATATTTGAGTTGAACATCTTTGAGATCTGTGTTGCACCAATATTTATATTTTTAGATTATTCTTTAAGAAAATCTGTCCTTTTATATATATATATGATAGTGTGGTATAAATTCATGACTCTGGCTTTATCCATCGGCAAATTCTATGTTTCTGCTAAGAAAATCTGCAAGGAAATTATTAATTCCTTTAATATGAACTATATCAAATTTATAAAATGCTAAATAAGTTTGTCATCTATGGAGCCTTCTGTATTGAGAACCGAGGTTCTGATGATAATTTATTCTTGACTAATCCTGCAACTTGAGAATTATCAGTTTCGATAATAAATTTCTTGGATAACAAAAATCATGAAAACTTTCTTATTCCTCTAATAATTCTTTCTCATGAGTGGTATAATTTATTTCTACTTGATTAAAAGTTTCACTTGAATATCTACAAATATCATTTAAATCTGTTTTTAATATTGCTACCCAATATTTATCTAAAGCATCAGTATTAACAATCAAATTATCTTTTTCATCTGGTAATCTTCATTTCGGTAAATTTTTACATTTTTCTTATAATGATTTAATTATTTCTGTATGTTCTTCATTCCATCATTTAGTATTGTTTTCCTAAGTAAAATTTGTATTTTATGTCTTTTTTTAGAAAGGTTTCAATAAAACCTTCTGCATAATTTAAACATCCTAAAAAATTTTGTTCTTTGGATTCTAATTTATCTGAAATTTTTTTTATCTTTTTAGATATATGAGTCTGTAATTTTATTTCTCTTTTATCTATTGATAATCCAAAAAAATCGATTTCTTTTTTTTTCTATTATTGTTTTTTTTAGAAAGTACAGTTCCTCCTTTTTACATTCGTTTATAAATTGTATTAAATGATTCATATGTTCTTCTTTACTGTTA